CTAAAATGTTAAACATGCACTTATTTCTCAATCTTATCTTCCTTTTATCCATAGAATTGTCATCCTTTTCTACTTTTCCCTCATTTGCATACCCGTTACTTTTTGCCTACTCCCTACCTCTCAGTGATGGAAGCAAAATAAAAATTTAAACACAATGGAAATTATAACCGCTTCCAAGCTATTTAGTTAATGTAGTAAACTCTACAGGATGAGTTTTAAATGTAAATCATAATAATATACTATGATATCTGGCAATATTCGTGGTGATATCTGTGGTGGCCAAAGCAAAAAGAGAAAAAAACATTGTAACATTCTGTTTTCATTGTGAGCTCAACTCATTTTTGGTCAAATAAGGTCAAATTAAACCTTTTCTGAGTTGTTTTATAAAAAGCTATTTATAGTCTCTACATTTTTTCAGTGAGTAGATGGCAATACCAACAATTTAAGACTTTTCTGCAAAGTCCGTAAAACTTGGTTTCCTGTGCACAAAATAGAGGAAAGATACGATTCAGGCTATATAGTACTAACCAAAGGAAAGCTGATATAACTATTCTAATATAAGAGAAAATTAACTTGGGCTGATAGCATTACTACAGACAAGGAGAATAGTTCATAAGAAATACACATTATTATATAAAGCAAACACTCACAAATATAAAACAGAAAATATATTGAAGAATTCGTTCAGTAGTCTCAGTGACAAAGAGAACAAGCAGTTGAAAAACGCAAATATAGACAATCTGAACAACACAAAAATAAAACTGGATTAACTGTTTTCATAGGACAGTCCACTACAAAAAATATTCTTTTCAAGTACACGGAGTATTTTGCAAAATAGACACATGTTGAGTCGTAAAGAAAGACTTCAAAAGTTTCAGAAAGGCAAAAATGTAATAATCTGCTAAAAGTGGAATTAAGCTTGAAATAAAAACTAAAAATGTACTTAAGTAATAGCCAAACTTAGGAAATTAGGGAATACATTGCTAAATCCTGTGGTTTGAAGAAAAAAAAGTTATCAGAAAATAGAAAATATTTTAAGCTGAATAACAATGAAAATACTACATATCAAGATTTGTGGATATAGCCAAAACAAACAAAACAAAATTTTACATGCAAACACACACTTTTAAGTGCCTGGGATTTTTGTTTGCTTGTTTTCCTTTTGTATTTTTGTAACAGCATTTTGATATGTAGTTCAGGTTGACCTTGAACTCACTATGTAGCCCAGGCTGGCCTTGAACTCATGTTGATCCCCAGCTTCTTAAGCATTAGATTGCAGGTGTGCCCCACCATACCTGGCAAAGTGCCTATTTTAGAAAAACATATTTCAGGAAGAAAAGAGGAGCAAACAAAAAGAATACAACTAGAAATCTGTTAGTATTGATCTAGAAAAAGTCAAGAAAATTAAAAATTGGTTCTGTGGAAAGATTAATAGATAAGGCCTTACCAATACAGATAAGAAGAAAACTGAACTACAGGAAGGAAAAAATGATCCAAGTAATATTTTTCCCAACATTTAAAAATATTAGAGTATTATGACAACTTTATATTGATGAAACTAATAACATGGATGAAATGTACAAATTTCTTGAAAAATTCTGATATAAAAAAACCTCCAATATTCTTCCAATGAATAAAGAAAATTCTGAAACATTTTTATAGATGAATTTCACTCAATAATGAAGAAAGGAACATCTTTTTCACCTAAAGACTTATATTAATCCCCAGTTGTTTTCATTACTTTTCTCTCATTGTTGAGACCTGTTCCCCAAAATTAGGGAAGGAAAAATTTATTTATCTTATAATTTTGGAGCTTTCAGTCCACATTCGGCTGGCTCCAAGGCAGAGTGGTGTGATAGAGGGGCAGCTCTTCACGGCGGCTGCAAGCAATAAGAGTGAAAGGGCAAAGGAGGAAAAAACATACCTCGTTTTGGCCTTTACATTGTATGCTGGTTTCCTGCCCCTCTGATGGTGCAGCACTCACACCACCAATCCCAATGCTAGACAACAAACTAATCACAAACACTAGATTCAGCTGCCTTCATGATTGCATGAGGCTTGGGGGGGCCATCTGAACACAAACCATAACACCAGTGTTCTCTTAAATGCTGAAAGTACAAGAATAAGATAATTTGAATAGAGTAATAGATATGCAAATGTTATTACTCCAAGATGTGCACGGTGGTACTGCAGAAGGGTAAGAGTAATGTTTGAGTTGCATGTAGTTGGTTTAGTCTGGAGGAATCTAGACAATTTTGCGAGGAAGGCACATTTGATTTGGGTTTCTGATACTGGGGGTAAAAAGAACATAAAAAGCTGGATGTTCTAGGAGAGGTGAGGAGGTAACAAAGAGCAAAGTATCATCTTGAGTGACACCAGAAAGTCAGGATGGACCATCTGGGGTAAAAGGCACAGGTGTAAAGGCAAGGGGCTAGTAAAGAAAGGTGATGAGTGAGCTGGCTTGTGTCTCATTCCTCACTTCTACTTGCTAGCTCCCAGCGCTTGAGTTCATTGCTCTCTTTGCTGTGTACCAACCTGAGGTGAGGCCCTGGCAGCACTTAAATAATCTTGGCAGAGACATGGATGTAAGTAACAGTAGAAGGAAGAGTATGTGCAAGTGGAGAAGTTCTAAGAAGGAGAGAAAAGACAGGTAGGCCCTTGGCCAATGCACATTATCCTGCTGCCTCAGCAATGAGAATTATACTCTGGTGTTGACCTGAGTCCCAGTCCTACATGCTCCAATTCTTGTCAGTTGGATTTTGGGTTTTTTTTTTTTCCTAATGACTCTTATTTTTATGTCCAGTTTCCTGAGAACTACAATACAATCTCCTGGGCTCAAATGGATGGTTACTAGATGATTTGGGGAGATGATAACACTGGCGCCCCCAAACTGGAATAGAGCACTTGTACTTAATTCTGAAAGCACTGAAGAACAATCAGATGTGCTAGGAGAAGCCAGGCGAATGCCCATTAAAAGTAAGAACCTGGCAGCACATAATTCTGCTATTAGATTGTCAATATAAACCTCAAACATGTGAAGCACAATCACAGAAGAGAACAATAAAACCTTCTGTACTCAGGAAAAGTTTGGAATGGGCAAGTATTTAGAAACTCATGAACATTCAGGAAAGAACAAAGCACAAACAATCTCAGTCTACAAAAAACACAGTTAGAAAACCCTAAGGAAAATATCGATTATTCATGTCACTTAGGCTTTATTGATAGGAAACCAAAACAACCAATCAACGAAGCTAGAGAACCAGCTGGTGTTCAAAGAAAGCATCAGCTTGGCTGCTTAATCAATTTTGTTGTTTGAGTTTGAAAAGAACTGAAAAATTGCTTATCTTCAGAAAATTGGGATAGGTTCAATAGTTATTCTAAGGAGTTGGTTTCAAATAAATAGTTTCAAAGTCTCAGAAGTAAGCCTAGAAGAGGGGCCAAAGACCTTGAATGCGCTCTGTGATTTTTCCCTTGTTTAACCAGGCCAGACTTTTGTTGTGCTTTTGTCTGGGGCTATTTGGATGGCATTCCTCTTACCACATATCAAGACTTTCTAATGGGTTACTACTGGGTTCTTCCTAGGACCTTGCAAATGCCTTCAGTTTAAAATAATTTTCTCTTCCTCCCCAAAACAGAAACAAGCAGCCAACCGAAAATGTCAAAAATATTGGATCTACTTGACGTTAGGAAATGCTTGGCCTGTTTTCCATTAGTTGGTGCTAAGCTCTAGATCAAAGTACTTTATTGCCTGCAAATATTTTGTTGCCTTGTGAAAACTGTGTTGACCTGGGAAAAGTACGTTTATGGAATCCACTTGCATTTTCTGATAGAGAAATAATGTATTAAAGGATTCTGATGGTTATTTTGAAAAATTTGCCATTTATTTGCCACTCAGGTGTTTATTAAAGTTTACTATATATGCAGATATGGTGTGCTTTGTGGAAACGTTTGGGGGAAGTTCCAACCTAAACATCAAGATATTAATAGAATTAATAGATGTTCCTTTCACAGAAATTTTTCTGGTCAAATGAATTTAGAACATGAACTCTTATCTTTGAATCTTATTAGAATTAAGCATATTACAATTAAACATTTTCTGATGTCTTGCAAAAAGAAATGTGTTTAATTTGTTTTGTTTATTTTCTTATTTTTCTTCTCTTTTTTTTCTCACATGGAACCTCTTATTTTGGAGCATGCTTTGGAGCTCATGAGATAGTGGGTAATCGTGGGAAAAGGAAATTGAATTAGCCTCAAGGCCCTCCCCTTTAACTAGTACGAAGTAGAAATGGGAGAAACATCAGAATCCTTCATATATTAGGAAAGTGCTGGACTGAAAATGGTTATTATGTAGAATTTGAGAATAAAATAAAGATAACTGGCAGAAACAGATCCACATATACTTAGCCAAAACATTCACTGTCTTTGTTGCTCTGCTTCATTGTTTTAATCTCTGTTACCTTTCTTGGGCTTTAGGCACAGAAACACAGTAGCCCCTTTTTAGCAAACTCTTGTTATTAACCACAGGGCTCCTTTTCTTTTTGGCCAGGTTCTTTGATGATTTGGGATGGTGTTTCTTACAACCTATGCTAAAGGGAGGTTGACTTTACACTTTCACTCACCACATATGATCAACAGCGAGTCAAAAGCTGGCTAACAAATGTAAAGGAGACAAGTTTGGAAATAGATTTCCAATGTGTTTGGCAGACATTCAGCCAGGAATTGATCCCAAATATTAAGATTGTCCTCATTGTGGATCACCAGAGAATTTCTCCTAGTACAGTATTAGGCTACTTAGTGAAAAAGACAGTCAGCTTATTAAATTTTAAGGGGTATAAGTCAAATAAATTATCCAGTTTTGTGAAGGAATAATAGAGCTATGATAATGGAGGGTAAGATAAAGTGGAAGGTAGGTATAACAGCACATTGGGAAGAGATCTGGGTTGCCAAGGAGGGTATTGGTATCTCTTGGAATTAGCAGAGAGTGAAGAAATTTCTCCAGGTACAATAGTAACTAAGTTTATTTATTTATTTTACCAGTTGTGGACTTCACAGTTAACTCTAGGGAAACATTTGATCACAAGGATGTTTTCCTGATGTTCAGGTACTTGCAGGCATTGAGGGGAGTGGTATCTAAACTCCCAGTGGAGTTCAGACTCAAGGAGGGTTATTCGAACAGTGTTTTGAAAATGTAAGAAATTCTGGGTGTGGTAGCAAATTCCTGGAATTTTAATACTCAAAAGACTGAGGCAGGAAGTCATGTATTTGATGGCATGCTGGGCTGCATCCCGAGACTTTCTCTAAAAAAGAAAAGAGTAAAACACACATGAGTATACCCTGAACTTTACTATATAGAATTAGTATTTATAGCAAATTGGGAGCATTTCATACCTGCAATCTCACTTTGTTAATAATATAAGAAGATATGGGTTTCTCCAAAAGCTTGGTTCACATTTGTTTTCCTTTTCATCAAGGACCATTCTCTTGGACATCTCACTTTTTAAAAAAAAATTTTTTTTGTATTTTAAAGAGAACAGAACAAAGCAAATCAGAAACAGAACAATGCAAGCAACACAGCACTTCACAACAAGACAACCGGATATCAACAGTAGTTACCATGTTTCTTTTCTTTGAAATAATTGAGCATACCTTCACATACAATAGTATCAAACATAACAAAATAGTATAAAGCCATTCAAGAGAATAAAAGCATTATAGGACTTCAAAAACAAATAACAGAAAATGAACAATGGCTACTTTAATATATCATTTTCCTCAAAAAAGTTGTCTATATGGTCACACATAATAAAATCAAATAAGACACAACAGGGTAGAACCAATCAAAAAAGTAGAACAAAAGCATGGTAGGACTTCAAAACAAGATGATAGAAAATCAGCAATGGCTGCCATAATGTCTTGTTTTCTTCAAAATAGCTGTTCATACCATTATACATAATAAAATCAAACAAAACAATAAAATCAATCAAACCAATTAATGAAGGTATTATAAGACTTCAAAGCAATATATAATAGGAAACCATGAGTACCATAAGATATCCCATTATATTCAAAATTGCTTTCCCTATCATCAGAGTAAAAGCTACAAAACAAGACAGAACAAAGCCAAACTTAAAATTGTGTAAACAATATAAGAGTTCAATATAAGACAATAAGAAATAGACAGTAGTTTCCACCTTTCCCTCCAGATGTTTCCTCCTCTTTGCTCTTACATTAACTATTTTGCTTTTGGATCTCACTAACTCCTTCTATTTCTTAAGCTAGGGTTCACATATATGAGTTCAAGTTGTTTTGGCCAAGGACACGATCTCCATTTACCTACCAGAGCCTTGAGATTATTCTACTTTATAGTTGGGTAGCTTTCCACTGCATGAAAACACCATATCTTTCTTATTCATTCTGTGGTTGATGGGCGAGTTACTCTTGCCATTTTTTTTTTTTTTTTGGTCTCCTGTCACATGGAACAATTGTTTTCTCTCCTTTGATTTTCAGTCTATGAATTTCCTTTCCAGTTAGATGTATTTCTTGTATAGTATATCAATGCATCTTGTTTCTTGATCCACTCTCCCTGTGTTTCTTTTTATTGCTGACCTGAGTCCATCTATGTTAATGGTTACAACCAGCATACATTGGTTTGTCTCTGCTCTGCTATCCTCCCTGTTGTTGGCCCTCCCCTTCATTCTCCTTCAATTGCTTGTCTTCTTTGGTGATCCTCCTCTGCTGCTGATCCTGGAACCACGGCCATCTTTATCACTCTCTAGAATATTCTTTAGCACTCTCTGTAGGGTTGGTTTGGTAGTCATGAATTCTTTCAGTTGTTCTTCATCATGGAAGTATCTTATTTTTCCATCAGTTTTGAAAGATAGTTTTTCTGGGTAGATCAATTTGGGTTGGAAGTTGTTTCCTTTCAGGGTTTGAAACACTTCACTCTAAACTCTTCTTGACTTGATGGTTTGTGTTGACAAGTCTGCTGTGATTCTGATTGGTTTTCTTTTATAGGTAATACATCTCTTTTCTCTAACAGCTTTTAATATTCTGTTCTTGTGCTGAATTTCTGGGATCTTGATTATTATATGTCTGGTTGTATATCTACTTTTGTTAAGGGTAGTTGGAGTCCTATATGCCTTATTTATCAGCATGCCAGATCCATTTCCCATGTTTGGGAAGTTTTATTCTATTACTTTTGTGAATATCCTTAAATTTCACTTGTGTTGAACCCTGCTTCTTCATTGATACCTATCATTCTTAAATTATGCTTCTTTTCATCATCTTGCAGCCACTAAGTTATTTCCTGATTCTGTGTTACTTTTAAGTTTTTCCATGTCATTTCTTTTCACGATTACTAGCTGCAATCTTGTCTTCAAGGTCTATCTTCAGTGTCTTTCAAGCAGTTTTGCCAGCTTTTGACTGAATTTTTAATTTCCTGGATCTCTCTTTGAATCTGTTTCATGCTTTGTAATTCCTTTCTACATTCATTCAAGGTTTCCATCATTTTCCTATGCTCCTCTTTATTGTCTATGTCTTCTTTAAACCTGCTAAACAATTTCAGTATGTTTGTGACTTCTTTTACCTGAGACATTATTTCTGATTCGACTGCTTTTACATCTCATGAAGTTGTTTCCTTAGTTGCTGTCTTCTCAGAGATTTCAGGTGTGTGACTTCCGTTTTCTTCCATGACTGCATCTCCCAGACTTATTGTGTGTGGGATAAAGGTCTGAATTTGCCTTTTGCTCCTTTATCTTGACATTCTCCTGGGTTCTCCAAACAAGCTGGTTGTGGGGTCCCAGGCACTTCCCATGTTGTCTGCCCCTAAGCAGTGTAGAGAGATGGGACAGGCACTTGGGTTCCTCTAATTTCAGAGTTACAGGGAGACAGCAGTGCAGACTTCTCCAGACCTATGCAGCTACCCTGGGGCTTTGCTGATGATCAGGAGTGCATGGAGGTGGGGCTGCTTCTTGCAGCTGTGTGTCTACACTGGGACTCCCACAATGGTGGCAGCCACATAGGGGTGTGTTTGTCTGATTCTGCTAGTGGATGATGGCTGTCTGAAGGAACCAAGGGCCTTAAATGGTGGCCTATGGATGCACATGGCTTACTTGGCTGTGTGTCCCTGCTTCTGCTGGCTGCCTGCAGGAAGAAGCCTTCTGGTGGCAGCTCCCTGAAGTTGAAGGTGGATCTGCTGGTTCTCTCTGCCCACATTGATTAACTGTAGGGCATGGCCTTTTGGTGGTGGCACATAGCAGCCAGAGGTGGATCTATCTATCTCCTTCAGCCTATACTGGGCCTGTGGAGGAAAAAGCCTTCTGGTGGTGGCACCTGGCAGGCAGAGGTGCGTCTTCTGGTTCTCTCTGCCTGCACTGTGTCCACGCAGGAAAGGGCTTTCTGGTGGCGGCACCAGGCAGGAAGAGTTTTTTTGTCTTTTTGAGAAAGGGTCTCGCTATGCAGTTCAAGCTGGCCTTGAGCTCATTTTGTAGCCCAGGCTGATCTCAAACTCATGAGGATTCTCTTGCCTCAGCCTCCTGAGTGCTGGGAATATACACGTGAGCCACCATACATGGCTAAGGATCCTGCTTCTTGAAGCTCATGCATTCTAAAAGTGAAGACAGATCATAAACAGATACCTTCAGTATATACTATAGTATACACCTGCATTTTGCATGATGGTGACAGAGTCTACCCAGTTCTGGGAAAGAGAGGCCCAGATTTGGGACATTTAGAAAGGCTTTTCTAAAGGCTTCCTCTTTAGAAGAGGAACGGGATGTTTGAGCTATGCTTTGTAGAAGAGTAGTTTCATGTTGCAAGGGGAACAGGATTGAACAGAAGAGACAAAGGAAGACATTCTGGGTAGAAAAAGTAACGTGAATGAAAACACAGAAGTAGGAAACCCAGTTGTCTATAAGGCTGTGACACAGAAAGGGAATGGAACTGAGGGTCAGGCAGTGTATTTGTCTCCTAATTCTCCCACAGCTAAGTATAATATGAGCAGGGTCTTAAACACCACAAACTTATTATCCTGCATTTCAATGGTTCAAAAGTTGGACACTGGTCTCACTGGGCTAAAACATTAAGGTATGGCAGGATTACATTCTTTTCTGAAGTTTCTGAGGGAGAATCTGTTTCTTTGTTTTCCAGCTTCTGGGAATGCCCACATTCCTTGAATAGCAGCTCACTTCTGTCTTCAAAGCTAGCAGCATAGTTTCTCTGTGAACCTATTTTTGCTGTATAACTCTTTCTCTGGATAGATCTGTGAAAGGGTCCCCATTTGTAGTGATTTGTGTGATTAGTTTGGCCCTATCTGGATAATCTGACATAATCTTCTATTTCCACGTTTCTGTCCTTAATCACATATGAAAAATGCTAAGGTATAAGGTATGTAAGGCAGCATACTCACGGTTCTGGGGATTAGGTTGGGTCATCCTTGGGGAGTTATTATCTGGCATATTTTAGGCAGGAATTGCTTTGGTGAAGTAGGCAAGGACTTGTGTTCTGCCATGCTCAGAAGCAAAGTTCTGAATTCTCTCATCTAGTTTGGATTGATTTCCTGGGCCTGTTCTTGTTTTTGAGAGCTGGTACCAGTCTCTGGTCTCTGTCACTCTGACAGATGAAGGAAGAGGAGAGGAGAGGAGAAGAGGGGATAAGAAAAGGGGAGGATGGGAGAGAGGGAGAGAGAGAGAGTGAGAGAAACAGAGACAGACAGAGAGAGAGAGAGATTGAAGTCTGCTTGCTCTTCACTACTCTGAGTGGTATCTGTGATCTCACTCACTGTTCAACAGTAAGGTAGTTAAAAGCTATTTGCCTCCTCCTCACTAGTTACCAAAGGAACATGCTAACGTAAAAGTGGGTTTGACTTCCTATACGTTCTGCCAAACTGGTCTGTGTGTCGACTGTGTCCATCCTCTTTTACAATTCAGTACACATAAAAACAAAAATATGACAGATTTTTGCACATAGTCCATTAAATTGATTTAATTATGTGAATGTATATAGATGAAATTGTCCCAAGCCAGCTGTTCAAATCATCTTATTCTGTATCTTGAAGAAGAAATCATTGAGAAAGTCCAATATTTCTCAAGCTTATTATCCTCTTTCTACTTTATTCCATATTTGAGCTTTTTAGTAATAGCTCCAATTAAAATACAGTTCTTGGTGAAACATAACCACAGCTTGCAAGTAACTAGTCAAGTCCCATAATTTTATGAATTAGAAAACTGACACCCACATGGAGGACACACATGACTTACCCAACCCACATAACCGCTTAGCTACTTAGCCAAAAATCCAGGATTTGACACCAATACCTCTTTTCTTTATGCTTTTAAGCTTCATATTTTATGGAAACTTAGTTTCAAATCTCTCGGGCTTCCTAATTCTTCTTTTGTTTAAAGGGAAATAGTTTTTGAATTTCAGTCTCTTGAGTATTGCAGAAGCCTTAGGATCTCTGCCAGAAAAGTAACACCCAAGGACTGAACATTGATAT